ATACACATGTGGCTTCGCCGGTTTCGGCAGTTCCGGTATTCCAAGGTACTGCACCTGAACCTCATTCTATGGTATAATACCATACCAGGTCCTCTAAAACTGCAAACCCAAAAAACTAACAGTATTCCACTCTTCAACTAATGGCATATCTCTATGATGTTTTGAGAGACTACGCATCTTTACCCGCCCTTACCTTGGTCCAATAAGCGCAGAAAAATATTATTATAGGACCCCATAATTGATTTCGACCTAGATTATCCCCACCTCATCGTCAGTATGAAAACACAATTTTCAAATTTACAAATTCATCTTAACACCTAATATTTATTCAAACCATTACTTATGTTGGTAAGAAAATCTAATTCCGAATAAGAAAATAAATTAATTCTTAATACTAAAAAATTTCAAAGTTTTCAACATGAAGCTTCATTTAAAATACAAAGAAATTATACTTTTTTATACAAAATAATCTTTATGCTTGTTTAAATATCAATTGTTGAATTTCTACAATTTCATTTTTTAAAAGATTTTTTTAAATAATAAATTTATTTATAATTTCTTAAATATGTAACAACAAATATTTTTTTTCTACAAATTCAAACCCTAATAAACAATCAATAAGAATTACAAAAACAAGAAAAAACGGCGTGTCTAAAGCAAAGCAAAATTTACATATTTACAATCTCTTTACAAATGTACCAAACAGCAGCAGAAACGTTAAAGGCCTCCAAAGAATTGCTTGTTATAATAATGATATTGGTTTGATAATGTATTATGTGTATTGAATGATGATCATACTAATAATGTTTGGTCGAACATTTTACATGAAATATGCGATCACATGTATATTCTTAATTATCTGCTTTTCTGAAGTTTGTAAATTTGATGATTTGGTGTAATACAGTTTTTGTGCATTCAATGTGTATTAGAGTGGAACTTAATTATATGGGTTTCTAAATATATACCCTAAATGTAAGAAAAATGTGTTTAATATACAATTTTTAGGCGTGCATAATTATGTAATTTATTTGGAACTATATTTATAATATCAAAATCTCTCTCAGAGTACAAACAAATTCGAAAAGTTCGGGAACAGAAATCAAGTAAATATTTCAAAATTAGATGTCTTTACTTCAAAATCAAAACAACAGCCAATCAGAAGTTAGCATTTCTGGTTACCATTTTTACTCGAGTAAACAGTTTACAAAGAGAATGCCATTTTGTTTTGTGCTCTCTTAAATTTTGTGGTTTCAGGAACGGGTTTCGAGTAAAAAGTTGCAAAACTTGTAAAATTAGTAGATTCTTTTAGTTTCTGGAACGGAACTATTGTAACAATAAAAAAATTAACATGATTGGCATTGGCATTCTATATTTATTAAGATCATTTAGCAAAGCAGTCACATGATCCGTGTGTGTGCGCTGATAATAAAGAATTAATAGAAGTCCACACAGTCCGTAGAAAGAACCAAAATAATAAACTTAAAAAAGAGAACTGAACTGACTATCGAACAATAAAGCAATAAGGCACATCAAGCCGGATAACAATAAAATCTGGTACTTCGAAGCAAAAAAACAGAATATATTTAAAAAAGAGAATTGAAATTACAGCCAAACAATAAGGTTATATTTTAATTTCTCAATTTTACATTTGGTCCATCGAGACGAATTGTAATTAAATCTGCTACTTCAAAAAAAGAACCAAACTAATATACTTAGCAAAGAGAATTGAAATCACAATCGAAAGAGACACACAATCACTTCGACATTTGGTCAATCGAGCCGGAACTAAACGAAATCAGCGAACGTAAAAAATAATATCCTCAAAAATAAAATAATACAAAACAATAATATCCTCGAAAATAAAATAACACTAAACAATAATATTTTTACAAAATAAACAATATTATTATAAAAACAAATTAAAAGAATCCAAAAATGCTCATCAAAAAATGAAGCCAAAGAGGCTAAATGAAAAAAGACAAATAAGGCACAAATAAAAAGTAAAACTAAAAAAATAGACAAAAGGCAAAAACTAATAAAAACCTACAAAGGCAAAGGGAAAATGTCCTTAGGAACAATGGCGCTGGAACATCTGACTCTTAAGGAGCAAATTGGTCAATAGAAAAAGCAAGTGCAGCAGTTGATGTACATAATGTCTCATGAGGATCGTAGCATGGCAAAAAGGCCCCGAAAGAAGCTGAATCTTGCAAAAACGGTATCACTCACAATGGAGAAATATGGGAAGCAGCAGAAGATGTCAAGGAAAAGTTGTAATGGCGACAATACTACGACAACAATGGTCCTTGAAGGAAATGAAGTCAATAGCAATATTTGGTAGCCCAGCGGCAGAAACAAAAAGAATATGAAATAAGAGCAGTGCAGAGCAGTCGTACATCATCATCAACAACCTCCATCCCATCCATCAGCTACATCAACAATCGGTTCCGTCCCGTGGAATTCCGCTACAAGTTATGCCGGGAAGGGTTCCTGCTTATGACGATCAGTCTTTGCTACATACACATGTGGCTTCGCCGGTTTCGGCAGTTCCGGTATTCCAAGGTACTGCACCTGAACCTCATTCTATGGTATAATACCATACCAGGTCCTCTAAAACTGCAAACCCAAAAAACTAACAGTATTCCACTCTTCAACTAATGGCATATCTCTATGATGTTTTGAGAGACTACGCATCTTTACCCGCCCTTACCTTGGTCCAATAAGCGCAGAAAAATATTATTATAGGACCCCATAATTGATTTCGACCTAGATTATCCCCACCTCATCGTCAGTATGAAAACACAATTTTCAAATTTACAAATTCATCTTAACACCTAATATTTATTCAAACCATTACTTATGTTGGTAAGAAAATCTAATTCCGAATAAGAAAATAAATTAATTCTTAATACTAAAAAATTTCAAAGTTTTCAACATGAAGCTTCATTTAAAATACAAAGAAATTATACTTTTTTATACAAAATAATCTTTATGCTTGTTTAAATATCAATTGTTGAATTTCTACAATTTCATTTTTTAAAAGATTTTTTTAAATAATAAATTTATTTATAATTTCTTAAATATGTAACAACAAATATTTTTTTTCTACAAATTCAAACCCTAATAAACAATCAATAAGAATTACAAAAACAAGAAAAAACGGCGTGTCTAAAGCAAAGCAAAATTTACATATTTACAATCTCTTTACAAATGTACCAAACAGCAGCAGAAACGTTAAAGGCCTCCAAAGAATTGCTTGTTATAATAATGATATTGGTTTGATAATGTATTATGTGTATTGAATGATGATCATACTAATAATGTTTGGTCGAACATTTTACATGAAATATGCGATCACATGTATATTCTTAATTATCTGCTTTTCTGATGTTTGTAAATTTGATGATTTGGTGTAATACAGTTTTTGTGCATTCAATGTGTATTAGAGTGGAACTTAATTATATGGGTTTCTAAATATATACCCTAAATGTAAGAAAAATGTGTTTAATATACAATTTTTAGGCGTGCATAATTATGTAATTTATTTGGAACTATATTTAAATAGAAAATTCTCCGATAGATATATATGTGTGTACTTTTTCTCCAAGCGTTTTTCTATGCACATTAGAAATTCAGTAGCAGCAAACAATTTGATGAGGTTCTGTGTGAATTCTGGCGACAGCGTGTGTCTTATTTTATTGCGCGATTGTTTCGCCAATTCTACATATGTAAAAATCTCTGGAAATCTCGCTTGTGTAAAAATTATTATGTATCCACATTTAAATATTTTATATATATTTATATATATATACAGTAAAATCCCGATAATTCGTAACCCCGTTAATTCGTAAACCCCGCTTATTCGTAACAAAATGCCGGTCCCTTGGAGAAATCGCGATAATTCGTAAAAATCCCATACATTTCGGTCCCCTCGATAATTCGTACAAAATTTCCAACGAAATACCTGTTATAATTCGTAATTTGTCTTCAAATTTTTTGTTTATCTCTTTCTCTTCATTCGTGCATTTTGATATAGCGGGCGCCGGTTTCTTTGCAAGCAAAAACTTGTTTTTTGTGCTCATCGTTCGCCATTTAACGGTAAACCACAAGTGACTTTCTACTCTGAAGTGGCAAAACATTTGTTTTTGTGTGTGCTTTTCTCCAACTTTCATTGTTCTTACGTTGATCGATCGGGCTATTTACATTTTTCTGAGCTCAGTGAATTTAACGCAATGTCACAAAAACGGTCGCACTACAAGACTCTTTCAATTCGTAAAAAGCTTGATATCATTAATGCAGTGAACAATGGTGAAAAAAATTGATGTAGCGAATCGTTACCACATCTCTCCGTCTACCCTCACATCTATTCTTCAAAAGAGGGAGGTCATCATGGGAATGCCCAGCAGCAGTACCGTAAAACGCCAAAAATCAGGTGAATTCGTGGAGCTTGAGAAATCACTTGTCGCATGGTTTCGGCAAAGCCGTCAATTGAATGTTCCAATTGGAGGAGTTCTTATAAGAGAAAAGGCTAAAACGTTTGCGGCTAGATTGGGGTTACACAATTTCAAAGCCAGCGAAGGATGGCTCGATCGGTTTAAGAAAAGGCACAACATAACTTTTAGGAAAATTTGTGGTGAAAGCGTCAACGACAATGTTTGCACGGAGTGGAAACAGAAGTTGCAGGACTTGATTAGAAACTATGAGCCCAAAAATATTTTTAATGCCGATGAAACAGGGCTTTTTTTAAATGCCTTCCTGACCGAACAATGTGTTTCAAGGGTGATACATGCCATGGTGGTAAAAGTAGCAAGGACAGAATAACATTATTGTTTGCTTGTAATATGGATGGCACTGAAAAGTTGAAACCTTTAATGATTGGAAAGTCAGCGAACCCAAGATGCTTCAAAAATATTAAGTCATTTCCTATGGACTATCGTTCCAACAAAAATGCGTGGATGACGAGCATTTTGTTTGATGAATGGCTTAATTTGGTAAATAACAAAATGGTCAGCCAAAATCGCAAGATTTTATTGTTCGTTGACAATTGTACGGCTCACAACGGACGTCCAGATCTGAGTCACGTGAAGGTAGAGTTCTTCCCCGCAAACACAACTTCTCAGCTTCAGCCACTAGATAAGGGAATCATAAAAAATTTTAAATCTTTCTATCGCAATGAAGTCGTAATGCAACTCCTAGACAGCATTGAGGATGAAAAGGAGCACAAAATTACAATCTTGCACGCGATGAACATTGCTGACAAAGCCTGGGAAAATATTAGCCAGTCCACGATTCAGAACTGTTTTCGATCTTGTGGTTTCGACAAAGGACCATACTCGTCAGTAAGTGAAGAACCATGCATTGAACCCAACGTAGCCGAATGGAATCGCGTTCCTCAAGATGGAGAAAATCCAATCAGCTTCGATGAATACGTTCACTTTGACGACAATGTGGCTGTTGCAGGCATACAAACGGATGATGAGATCTTGGGATTTTCGCAAGAGGACGACGAAGTCAGCGATGACGACGAAGTTGATATCCCCCCGATTTCTTCCAAAGAGGCAAAAAATTGCATTGACAATTTACGCCGTTATTTTTTGGGTACAGATGTTGACGACGATGTGTTTTCAGCAATTGTGACGCTAGACAACGTAATCGACAAGACGCGTCAAAACTCTCTGCAGCAAAAAAAAAAAAAAAAAAAAACTGATCTTTTTTCTTAATTATTTTTAATATATCACATATGTAATAAGTTTTTAATTTTTGTCTACTTTATGAATTAATTTTTTGTTTTTGTTAAAAATGAATAGGTTTTAAGTTGTTTTGAAAAAATAAAAAAAATGATACATATTTAAATATGTATATTAACGATTGAATAAAAACCTCGTTAATTCGTATTTTACTTACTTCCCCCCACTAATTCGAAACCCCGTTAATTCGAAAACCCCGATAATTCGTATAAAACGGTCGGTCCCTTGACATTACGAATTATCGGGATTTTTAATTTTTAATTGTAATTTGGTCCAATTTTTCTGAGAGAAATTGGACCAAATTCCAATTCTTATTGGGTACTAAATGTCTCCACAAAAAACTATAAATATAGGTCAACTTTAACGGTACCTCCTAATTTGCAGTATTTTTGTCGTTTTGATCGTATTTTTCCACGGAATTGGCAGTAATTTAGTATTTTGAGTTCTTAATAGGTACCAAATCTCTCCACAAAATATTATGAATATTGATGAATTTTTTCGGATAGCCCCCACATAAGGGCACCCCCAATTTTCGGTATTTTGGTGTTCTTGAGCGCATTTTTCTGAAATTTGGTACAAATTAAAAATATCCGGTAATTTGTTGATATTTGGTACAATGGGTTCTTATTGTGTACCCCCATAAAAGACACCCTCAATTTTCGGTATTTTGGTGTTCTTGAGAGCGTTTTTCAATTGAATTCGCTGAAACTTGGTATTTTGTAGTCGCAATGGTAAAAATCTTCCCAGCAAAAAATATTAATATTCGCCTCTTTTTGGGGTTATTCCTATATAACCCCCTTCTTATAATAAAACAGTTAGCTGTTCCGCGTTTTGGGTTTGGTTCTATGACTCTGTTGTAATCATTTCACCTGCGGAGGATATCGAGATAAATAAACTAGAACGTAAGGTTCGATAATGAACTATAACCCGCATTTAGGCCTAGCCCCTGTGTGGGAGGTACCATAGGAGTGGACCTATATTCCCAATCTTCGAACTTGAACTAAGTTAGGAAGAAATAATAAGATTGGCAAAGTTTGGATGAAATCGAAATTTTCTGAAATGTTTCGATGACCGTGTCAAAGTGTATACACCCTCATTAGCCATAAGGCTGAGGGTATAATTATCCATTAATAATTTCTGAAATTTGAATTATGGTTTACATTATAGTTTACATAATCGGTTTCTAGAAATGTCGATATAGGTCCACTTTTTGGTATTTTCCCTATATTTTCATTTCAAGTACCTGTCAGTATATCTATGGTGGAGGGTATCCAAAGTTCGGCCCGGCCGAACATAACGCTTTTTCACTTGTTTTTCTCTTCTTTCACGAAGGAAAACACACACGAAAAAACAGACAACAAAAAATCACGATCACCACCATCAAATCATTTTAATTATTTTAATAAATTAATTTAACAACAAAGGTAAGTACACAATCTAAACACCACGTATAATCAAATTATAAAGTAGGTGATGCTAATTTCTTTTTACATTGACAAAATTTTTTATCCCATTAAATTGTAATTTTGGATTTAACATGCTACATGTATTGTCTTTCCGTGAATCAACTCGAAAATAATATTATAGTAACAATTTAAGAAATATTTGAGAAAATATTTGAAATTCTATTAAAAGTGATTTTTAACAAGTGAAAAAGCGTTAAGTTCGGCCGGGCCGAACTTTGGATACCCTCCACCATAGATATACTAAAAGGTAGTTGAAATGAAAATGTAGGGAAAATACCAAAAAGTGGACCTATACCGACATTTCTACAACGCGATTATGTAAACTATAATGTGAACCATGTTCCAAAAAATTTTGATTTCATCCAACCTGTGCCTATCTTATTATTCTTCCAAACTTAGTTCAGGTTCGAAAATGTGGACTATCGGTCCACTCCCTCTGATACCTCCCCCACAGGTGCTAGGCCTAAATGCGGGTTATAGTTCATTATCGAACCTTACGTTCTAACTTTATTTCGATATCCTCCGCAGGTTAAATGATTACGACAGACTCTTAGAACCAAACCCAAAACGCAGAACAAATTATATAACTATTTTAATATAAAAAAGGGGGTTATATGGGGACTTCCCCCAAAAGGGGCGAATATAAATAATTTTTGGTACGGAGATTTGTTACCATATATGACTACAAAATACCAAATTGCAGCGAATTCTTTTGAAAAACGCGCCCAAGAACCCCAAAATACCGAATATTGGGGGTACCCTTATATGGGGGCTACCCGAAAAAATGGACCTATATTCATAATTTTTTGTGGAGAAATTTGGTACCTATTAATAACTCAAAATACTAAATTACAGCCAATTCGATGTAAAAATACGATCAAAAACCCCAAAATACTGAAAGTTAGAAGATGCCGTTATATTGGGGCTACCAGAAAAAGTGGACCTATAATCATAATTTAATTTTGTGGAGACCTTTAGTACCCAATAAGAACCCAACGTACCAAATTTCAGCGAATTCGGTTGAAAAACACGGTCAAGAACCCCAAAATACCGAAAATTGGGGGTACTCTTATATGGGAGCTATGCCTAAACGTGGACCGATATATCCCATCTACGAACTTGACCTGCCTGCAGACAAAAGACAACCCTATGCAAAATTTCAGCACCCTATCTCAATTCCTTCAGAAGATAGCGAGATTACAACAGACGGACGGACGGGCAGACGGACGGACATGGCTAGATCGTCTTAGAATTTTACCCTGATCAAGAATATATATACTTTATAGGGTTGGAAATGAATATTTCGATGAGTTACAAACGGAATGACAAAATTAATTTACGCTCCATACTATGGTGGAGGGCATAAAAATGTACAGGTAATGTGGTGTACCATATGATGTTAATGTGGTATAGTATAATTTTCACTTCCAATTTATATCTTACTTAATTTATTGTTTTTAATGAATGCGAATTATCTCGAAATTTATATCTGTTAACATATTAAGAACCGTAAAGAAATCTGTAAGTCCCTGGGACCCCACGTTTTTGGCAAACTTGTACGTTCTAAAATCATCATAACTTAACTTAAATATAAAATTGCGTAAACCTCAAAACCATATGATGCGCATGCGGTTTCCAGGAAGTACTGAAGTTTATCTTCAATTCCATGTGCATTGACGTACCCAAAACCTCGTAAACCGCGAATAATTTCCGAAAAGTCCATATGCTTTTAACGCGCATCCGATTTCGGTGTGTCCCTTAAAAAATTATATCGAGAACCATGGAGGATTCAGCTCATACTATTTTTGAGATAAATTGGGTACATATCTTTTTCGGCTGAAGTTTTTAACGTTCTGGCTTCGCAAAAGTTCAAAATACCTATCAGGTCATTTATTGAAACGGAAACGATCCACAGAAAATTCAACTAAATCCGCGATATTTCGAAAAACTATTTTTGCCATATTTCGTGTTTTTTACAAATATACAAATTCACCTAATAGTGATCGTTAAACACCTGATGGTTCCTAGTCTATCTATTTGTAACAACAGTTGTTTCGGACTCTACTGTATTATTCTATCATAAGGTGTATAAAAGGGTACATAACAAAAATACTTAAGAACAAATAGCAGAATCGCCGTATAAACAATATATATATATACTTGCATAGTACCAGGAAAGGGAATACAAAAAATATACTGTAAATTTATACTGTAGCTCTCTCCGTTAATTTATTGTAATATAGTTTGCAATTTAGTACTCTTCATACACATAAGCACTATTTTCCGAAATTTCTCTTACTTCCTTATACAGATTAAAAATAGACCAGAATTCCAAATATATATTTAACAAAAACATACAGGTTCCAGATTTACTTAGCACTTTTCGAACACAGAATTATACATTTTCAAGACTACCTCCATGCCACTACCACAATATTTAGTACCAGTTAGTACAAAAAAACCTTTGGTACTTCTTTCTAACTATCCGTTAGTGACCCACATTACAAACTTTAGGTTTCCAGCTCTCTCTGTAACCCAAATCCAAATTTAGTGTATTTGCTATTCTATTTACTATTCGTAAACATCAATTCGAGTTTCCAAAGTTATCTCCATAGCTCAATACTACACTTCAACAGTAATCTAAATTCCAAATCTCAGGATACAACCACATTCCACACATTTAAGGATTCCCGCTCTATACGTTCACCAACACCAAATTGTACCAAATTTAGTACCATTTATTACTTTTCGTAGACGTAAGTACGAGTTTATAAAACTTCCTCAATCCCACACTGCAACAGTAATTTTAATCATAAATTTCAGGATCCCAGTCCTATCCGTTCAAATTGTTGCATATTTAGTACCATTTAGTACTTTTCGTACTTTAAGTTTGAATTTACAACACAGTCTCAATCCGGTACTCTAATAGTAATTTTATTTTCAAATATAAGTCTTCTATCTCTATCCTTTCATTTAAATCTAAATTGTACTAAACTTAGTACACATAATCACGCATTTTCAAAACTACCTCCATGTCTCAATCCTACACTCCACCCTTAATTTAAATTCCAAATTTTGGGATTCCCGCTCACACAAAACGAATTGTGCCCTATTTAGTACCATTTAGTGCTTCTCGTATCCATGAGTACGAAATTCCAATACTATGTTTTCCATCTCTATCCGTTCACTATGATCTAAACTGTACCAAATTTAGTACCATTTAGTACACGTAATGCTACCGACATATCTTAATCCTGCACTCCAACAGTAATATTAATTCAAAATTTCAGGATCCGTTCACACAAAAACAATATGTTAACTACTTTGGTACCGTTTAGTACCAAAGTTTCTATAATTAAGAATTTCCTAAACTACGTCAATCCTACATTCCAAAATTAATTTTAATACCAAAATTCTGGAGTCCAACTCTATCCA